TCAAGAGAAAGATACTAATATATTGAGACCTGGTATGTTATATCAGACTAAAAATTAAAAAGAAAAATAAAATACTTCAAATTTTGTGACCGTTAGCCGTTGACATATTGAACTTTATAATATAAAATTACTGAACACATATATCTTAACCAACCTTGAGTATTGAGGGCTCAACTGGGTTGGGTCCTCTCGATGAGAATGAAGCCATAATTAGTGTAGGTTTGATTCCCAACTAAGTCTTCACGGGAGTGATGTAAGCTATTGGATTTCTGATTCAACCACAAAAACGTGACATATAAGTTAGTTTATATTTAATAGATCATAAAGTTTAAAAGAGTTTGTGAATAAGATGGAGTAATTACTTATTAGACCGGATGTATTGGTCGACTAATTCACCATCAATATAGCTTATATTGAAGCAGGAAGTAAGTGTGCATCAGCCATAAGTCCTTCCCCACTTATCTTATTATTAATTAGAATCATCCCAACCGCACCTGCTTCAGCACCCACATAACCTTTCTCCAATCTTATATCATCCCAATTAAGGCAAACTACAATTTTCCCTTTTTACTTTTTGAGGATCAAGAGACCCTCCTCAAAAGACCCTTTTAGACAAAGTGCGCTAAAAGATCACAATAAATAATTAATATCATAGGTTTCCGTCAATTTGTTCTTATTATTATGGTAAAAATATGCGGACTAAATTTTACAAAATACTCTCGAATTAAAAACATATTTCAATTATGCATAAAAAAATTAGAGATATTGTGCATAATTTAAATTAAAATATACTCACGTGTCGTCGATATCATGACTATTGTTGAATTTTGCATCTAAAGCACGAATTATCGGATAAAACTTCTCAGCTGGCAATGTTTTACTAGAAAGACTTATACTCTGGTAGTGACAATGAAAAATCATTAAAGACAACATAAACATAGTATAGAGTCATAAACTCAATCAATACGAATATAGAGACAGGTATATTATACAACTTTATATGCCTAATGCACTTTACTATTTTTGAAAATAGATAATTACCTAAATATTTGTATTAATAGTGTCAAGAACATAAAAATATAGTACTACCTAGTGTCGGATAGTGTACCTTGAAGTGCCTCTTGTCTCCCAATGTCACGTTAGTGGTAAAAAGCTTATCAATTGTGCTAGCTCCTACAGTTATTATCCATGGTGCAACATTTTCTGACACTGCCTTCAAATGGTCCTGAATTTCCAGCCAAACAAACAACAGTGATGCCGTTCTTCACTGCATGGAAGGACCCTATAGCTATTAGATTGTCAGAAAATTCTTCGATATGTCCACCGAGTGAAATCGACAGAATGTCAACTCCATCACTAATGGAAACTTCAATGCCAGCTAGAATATCGGCCATAAAACATCCACCACACCCCATTGAAGACCAACATACTCTATAGGCAGCCACAAGGGCTTTAGGGAATCCCCTTTTGTAGTGCCATTACCATTCCCAAAAAAGTTTACTCCTTCAACGAAATTTCCTCCTGCTGTGGATAAGGTGTGTGTTCCATGCCCATTATGTTCCTTTGCAGTTTCATAGCTTGTGTGTTCCATGCCCATTATGTTCCTTTGCAGTTTCATAGCTTGAGTGGAGAGGTTTAGGTTCCACGACAGATTATATCATTTGTTGCTCCAATCAGCTTCCTACATTTAAAATCTTCAATTTTACATCTACGTCACATGTATCAATATAAGCATTTGATACAATAACTAGCTAGAACACAAACACGACAAGGACAAATCTTTTTTCGTTTGTAGTTTTTTTTTTTTTTTTTGAAATATTTAATAAGTCTTAAACTTTTAGCTTTGTATCAATTTTATTCCTCTTTTAACTTAAATTTTTGTGATAGCTAATAATTCTTGAAATTTTAATGGTTTCTAATTAATAAATAAATAAATAAATAATAATAATAATAATAATAAACCAAGAAAATGAATATGAAGTAATTTTTCTCTAAAAAGTTGTGTATTTATGTGTCTATTTAGTATCGTTAGCAATGAATCGATGTTAGATTATTATTCATTTTAAGCAACTATTATCTAGTGTTTGTTTATTGTGCTAATAAAAGTGTCTAATCTATGCTTAATATATTAATCAAATGAAAGTGTCCATGTTTTTAGCATAAAATAATTAAATAGAGGCCAAGTAACATAAGACATTTGATGTTAGGACCGGTTGCAACTAAAGTTGAAGCCACCTTCACAACTTCCCTTCCATTTGGTTGGGATAGGTCCATATCCTTCATCACCGATGCTCTTTGATTCTGTCCAAACACATGTATTGATCCCAATTACCATAAGAAGAGGTACTCAAATTAGTCAAAAGCTGCCAAATGTCTAGGAACTTATGAGAGGAAAACAAGTCCAACCTGTGTCAATGTTGCTAATGATTGTAGATTCACCAAAACTTGAAAGGTTCTAAAGTGGGTTTGAAGGAACTCCACCATCATTTACAACTCTAAGAAAGTTTCATGATCGTGTTGTATGCAATTTCAATCCTTTGTTTTCCTGTACTGATGTATATCACATCAGGATGCTTTATAAAAGAAAAGGACAAAAACACCATCATTATTAAATTAGAAAATCTAGACTGGCTAGTTAACTATTTGACTTTTCAAAATTAAGCTGGTTAATACTACTTCCAACCTACAAAGTTTTGAAAACTAAAAAAAGGTTCGTTTTTGTTTTTGGAATTTTTGTGTGAAAATCCGAACATTTTCATAAAAATATGAAAGTCAATAAATTAGGAACAAACTAGTATGATTTTAGTCAGAAAGAAAATCATTATCAAATAAAATGATATCTATAGCCATAAAAATGGATGAATCATTTTACTTGCTATATCTTCTGCAACTTTCTGATCAAGAGCCGCTGCAAAGTCATTGATATATCTATTGTATGAGTAAAAGATTGCTTTCTTAGCTACATTGTTATACTTGGCAACATAAACGTAAGAGGTAAATCAAGAGTGAGAGTTCAACAAATCTACCCTACATAATTTGAAAGTAAAAGCTTCACCTTCCTAACACGGATCCAAGTAGATTGTAGTGGGTTTGTGTTGCAAGATGGAGATCAAGAGCAGAATGATTCAACCCATGTAAATGTGATCCCAAGTAAACAATATAAGACTGTACAACATAAACAAAACGTTTCAATGTCCAAAACCCATCAAAGCATTTATAAGTAATGATTGAGTAACCTTCTTGGCAGGAATGGTGGATGTTTGTAAAAGAGCAAAAAGAAAGAATGAGAGATGTAAAGGAGGAAGATTGAAGGCCACCATTTCTATATCTCTCAGAATAATTGTTTTATTAGAATGGTATACTCTCTTTACTCCGTGGCTTTTATAATTGTTTTATTACAGTGTTTTATGTTTTGACTATTTGGAGTTTCATTTTTATGTATAGAAAGTGACGATGAAATCTTCCATTTGAAGAAAACAGAGCAAAAATGGAAGAAATTGAAAACTCATCGTCATAATTTATCGTGACATTTAATACATGCACATTATCTTAATATGAAACATCATCATATTAAGTCATTTCATCATTATATGTCTCACATTATCTTGTTATCATGCATCATCATCATGTCAACATCATGACATTATCATATAACATAAAGCATAAATAACCCATGCAAGAGCCACTAGGCATAAGGTTTAACATAAATAACTCAAGTTGCTATAGTGTATGTAGAACTTCTACTTCCCTTTTAACTTCGGTACGGTATCATTGAGCTAGGCGTAAGGTTTGTTAAGTTCGTGTAACTTGATAGTTCGCTTGGATGGCCCTATACGATGGATTCATCCTGTGGGTAGACATTGATCATGCAAGTAATCAATAGAGCTCACACGTATAGGGGGTTGCTCCCCCAGCCTTGAGCGACTACATGATCGAACAGGTTCGCCAGCTAACCTCCCATGGATGACGAGTTGGTTAGCACTCACCATGCTGTTCCCACCTAACAAAGAGAGTTCTTTAATGTAACGATCCTAAATTTTCTACTTAATCTAAAGTCGCTACCGTATACATATCATGAACATTGAATGCAGAATTACCTCATCAAACTTTACGTAACTTTATCTTAAAACACAGTCATGGATTTATGTGTTTGAAAATATCTTTAAAACAACACAAAAAATGACTAAATAAAATAAATGAATGATTAAATTAAAAACACCCTATTCTAGCCTATGTCTAAGAAAAATAAATGTGACTACCTTATGCATGTGTCATGGTCTCGAGTTAGATGTCGTCGTCAGTAGTACAAGAATGTCTTGCCTTTACCTAAAATAGAAATAACACGTGGTTTGAGTATTTAAAGAAATACTAAGCAAGTGACCCCACTATTAGGGTTAAATGAAAACACATACAATTTCATTAATGATACCTATCATATCAGTCTATTTTCCTATGGCGGGTATCCTAAACTAGAAAATTGGATGTGTATTTACTGTTTTACACATGATTCACACGTGCAAGTATGGACCCAACAGTCGGTTCGCACACCTCCTAGGCCCCTTTCTTGAAGGGCAAGTATTCTCTAGTAGCTGTTGATGTTGGACACCTATTTAGGAATAGTGGCCGTCGTAGCATGAGGATAAACATAATAATTTTTTTTCCTGCTTAAACATCACAACATTATGATAAATATAATGTTTCTTTGCCTGGTTGTTGCAGCATTATGATATCCACAATTCGTTAAAGGAGTAAGCATTTTAGGGAATGGTTATGGCGCTGCAAAAGGGGGTTCCCCTAAAGCATTTGTTGCTGCCTATAAAGTATGTTGGCCTCCAACGTTTGTTGGTGAGTGTTTTATGGCCGATATTGTAGCTGGCTTTGAAGTTGCCATTAGTGACGGAGTTGACGTTCTATCGGTTTCACTCGGTGGAAAGGATCAAGAATTTTCTGACAATCTAGTGGCTATACTATCCTTCCATGCAGTGAAGAACGACATCACTATTGTTTGTTATGCTGGAAATTCAGGACCATCTAAGGCAAGGTCTCAAATGCAGCACCATGGATGATAATTGTGGGAGCTAGCACAATTGATAGGCTTTTTACCACTTACATGGCATTGGGAGACAAAAGGCACTTTAAGGTACTCTATCCGACACTAGTTAGTATTATAAAGCTATGTTTTTTACACAATTTATACAAATATTTAGGTAAGTATCGAACCATTTTCACACAGTTAATTGCATTTAACATATAAAATTGTATTGTATGCGTGTTTCTATATTCCTATTGATTGAGTTTATAATTTTGTACTACGTTTATGTTGTCTTTAATGATTTTTCATTGTCAACACCAGGGTGAACGTCTTTCTAGTAAAATATTGCCAGCTAAGAAGTTCTATCCGTTAATCCGTGCTTTAGATGCAAAATTCAACAATGTCTCTGATGACCTCGAGTATATTTTTATTCAAATTATACATAATATCTTTAAATTATGGATACATTTCTATCATGCATGAGTATTTAAAATTATCAGTTGAATTTTGAAATACATCCAAAAACTAGCCTTTGAGGAATTTTCTATTGAAACCATCTAATGTAAATTTGTAAATTATGTTAGCAATATTTTTGGGTTGAAATAAACAATAAAAATTTATCATATTTTTTAGTTTAAATGATGTTAGGTATATTCTCCAATTTTTACAATTTTTAGCTTAAATTTAGCTTAAATAGATTTGTATCATTTGATAATTTTTGCAAAATTTTCAAGTTGTAAGAACATAATTGAAATATATTTTAAAATTTAACAATATTTTGTTTAATTTAATCCACATATTTCCAACATAATTATAAGAACAAATTGAACATTTTGCTTTTAATATGTTTTGAAGGATCTCTTGATCCTAAAAAGGTAAAAAGGAAAAATTGTAACTTGCCTTAATTGGGGCCATTCAAGAGTGGACAAAGGTTATGTAGTTGCTCAAGCTGGTGCTGTCGGGATGATTCTTGTTAATAACAAAGAAAGTGGAGATGAACTTTTGCCTTACGCACACTTACTTCCTACTTCACATATAAGCTATACCGATGGTGAATCACTCAACCAATACATCTAGTCTACTAAGTATTACTCCATCTTATTCGGTCAACTTCCACATTTATGCTCAAACTCTTTGAAATGAAATGAATAAACATAAAATTAGTTCAATATTTTATTTAGACTCAAAAGTGGTAACTTATATGTCACATTTTGTGGTTGAATCAGAAGTCCAATGGCTTACATGACTCGTGTGAAGATTGAGTTGGGAATCAAACCAGCACCAATTATGGTTTCGTTCTCGTCAAGAGGTCCCAGCATAGTTGAGCCTTCAATACTCAAGGTTGGTTAAGATTTATGTGTGGATTAATTTTATAGTATAAACTTCAACGTGTCAACAAAATATGAAGTATTTTTTTTTTTTTCAATTTCAAGCCTGATATAACAGCACCAGGTGTGAATATACTAGCGGCTTTCTCTGACGAACTATCACCAACTGGTTCACCTTTTGATAAACGTCGGGTTCTATATAATGTATTATCAGGCACTTCCATGTCATGCTCCCATATTTCTGGTATAGTTGGCCTTCTCAAAACCCTTTATCCAAAATGAAGTTCAGCAACTATCAGATCTGCAATCATGACGACAGGTTCATTATTCAAAATTCTTTCATCATTTTAAAAGTTCAGTGACTAGTTAAACTAGTATTTCCAAACCATGAATAGTAAGATACATTATTAATGAGATTTTCATCTTGCAAGCTAAGGGTTTTGTTTGGCAGCTAAAACGGAGCTAAACCCGAAGCAAATGACTTAAATCCAATACTAAACTCAAAAAAGAAGAAAGCAAACTATAAGACCTATTAGACACAAATGTTCTCAATGTATTACACATCTTAAAAGGTTTTTAGACACAAAAAGTTAAAGTTATGATATGATACTTTTAAAGTTCAAAGATATCTTAAATATAAGGGTAACTGAAGAGATTTGATTTTAAGATCGATTTGATGTTAGGGACCTGTTGCAACGAAAGTTGGAGACACCTTCACAGCCTCCCTTCCATCTTGTAGGGATAGGTCCATATCCTTCATCACTAAAGCTCTTTGATTCTGGCCAAACACCTATCTTGATCCCAATTACAATAAGAAGAGGTACTCAAATTAGTACAAAAGTTGCCGAATGTCCAGAAACTTATGAGAGGAAAACAAGTTCGACATGTGTCAATGTTGCCAATAATGGTAGATTCACCAAATCTTGAAAGGTTCCAAAGTGAGTCCGAAGGAATTTTACCATCATCCCCAACTCCAAGAAAGTTCTATGACTGTGTTGTGTGCAGTTTTAGTCCTTTGTTTTCATATACTAATATCACATCATGGTGCTCTAAAAAAAAAGTAACACCATATTATTAAAATAGAAAAACTAGGTCGGATTGATAACTATTTAACTTCTCAAAATCAAGCTTGTGATGTCAAAGTTTTGGAAACTAAATATCGATTATGATTTATTAAGAAAGATAATCATTATCAAATAATATGATAGTCATCGTCAAACATATAGATGAATCATTTTACTTGCTATATCTTCTTCAACTTTCTGCTCAAGAACAACTGCAAAGCCATTGATATTTCTATTATATGAGTAAAAAATCGATTCCTTAGCTGTTTCATTGCTGTACTTAGAAACATAAACATAAGAGTGCAAATGAAGAGTGAAAATTCAACAAATCTACACTACATGATTTGAAACTAAAAGCTTCACCTTCCTAACACCGATCCAAGTAGATTATAGTGGGTTTGTGTTGCAAGTTGGAGATCAAGAGCAGAAGGATTCCAAGCCATGTGAATGTGATTCCAAGTAAACAATATAAGACTGCACAAAATAAAATAAAAAACGTCCAAAGTGTCTAAAACCCAATTGATATGAACATTAAAAAGTATTTATAAGTGACTATCGAGTAACCTTCTTGGCTGCCGTGGGTGTTTGCAAAATAGCAAAAAGAAAGAATGAGAGAAGTAAAGGAGGAAGATTGAAGGCCTCCATTTCTTTTTTTCTCCGAATAATTGTTTTGTCAAAATGTTATATTCTCACTTCCTTAGTGCCTTTTTATAACGCTTATCAGTGTTTTATGATTCGACTTTTATTTTTATGTATAGGGAGTGATGAAGAAATCTTCCATTTGAAGAGAACCAAAAATAGTAAGGAAATAAAAATTATTTAATGATATGCCCTCACATGGTTGTTAGTTTTGCTAATTTGTCTCACATTAAGTCTAATACGCGAAGTATTGTCTCATATATATATACAAAGTATCTGATATTCGCATTAAGTCTAACACGCGAAGTATTGTATAATATAGAGAATTGAACTTGAAATTGATGTCATAGGTCTGCATAGGTTGACTTAGATACAAAAGACAAAAATCGAACTCTCACTAAGGACAAATTGGTTATACTACCTAAGCTAATCAAATAAGTGACCTTACTATCGACTCGATCGGAAGACTTATCTTATGTATGATGATACGTGCCCAGTGACACTTGCACGTGTCATTTATGTTTTATGTTATATAATGATGTGATGATATTATATAATGATGTGATGACGTTAGATGATGATTGTTGATGTTGTATGATGATGTGATGATGTAATATGATGACTTGATGACGTTAGATATTGACACAATGATGTTATGATGATTGATGATGTTATATGATGATTGATAATGTTATGTGATGGCGTGATGACGCTAGATGATGATGTGATGATGTGATGATGTTATATGATGATGTGATAATGTTATGTGATGACATGATGACGTGATGACGTTAGATGATGATGTGATGTTATATGATGACTTAATGATGTTAGATAATGATGTGATGATGTTATGTTGTACATGATGTCAACATGATGATGATGATGCATAATAATAAGATGAAACGACTCCATATGACGATGTTTCATATTAAGATGTTGTGCATGTATTAAATGTTGCGATGCATTATGATGACAAGGTTTTAAAGACACAACCCTAGTTAACCAAATGATGATGTATATATGAAGGCCGATGCGTGCATGTTACTTAGAGTAATGTGTGAACGGTGTATAGGGTTGTGTCTTAAAGATGATTTAAAGATGAAAACTATAGGAACCTCATGCATTTTGTGTGTTCATATGCATCAGGATACTTCCCCTTTTATGATGATGAGTGCAGACGTGCACAGTATGATGATGAGGGTGTTCATGGGGAGCATGACACTATAGAGTTCCACTGACCTCCGGACGTTGCTACAGATTAGCTTGACCAAAGAGGGTCTAGGGGGTGTGCAAATCCCCCTGGGGATTCACACTCGCACGTGTTGGTTGTGTGTAGGAAAATACTATACATCCAATTTGTATGAGGCTGGAGGCCACCCCTACGATGGTTTTAAATGATAGGTCCCTTGATCATGAGTTGCATGTGTTTGCATTCCCTTACCCAGCAGTGGGATCACTCACTAAGTATTTCTTAAAATACTCAAGTCATGTGCTACTCTTTTTCACGTAAAGGTAAGGCGTCCCTGTATGGCTGACGGTGACGTCACAACTTGAGACCATGACACATGTATAAGGTATTTGTATTTATTTTCTTAGACTTAGGCTAGAATATGATGGTTTTAATTCAAAGGTTTATTTATTTTCTTTAGTCTTTTGTCGTGTCGTTTTAAAGGTATTTTTCAAAACACGTAAGTTGTGTCGTTTTTTTTACATAGTTATTCACTAAACATGGCATATGACATGAGATATGTTGGCATATGGCATGAGATATGTGTTGGTGGTGGGAGTCTAACATCCAAGCAAGAGATTAGACCAATAGAATTCATTCTAAGAGGTCGAAACCCTTCTCAACTTTCTATGGCGTACTCAATTTCTCATACCTTCAATTTGACCCTTGCAAGCAAGATACACCACCCTACCCTAATGAGACTCTTAGTCAAAAATAGTTTGTTACATCATGTGAGGAGTAATTTAGTTATGCTACTAACCAGAGTGACTAATTTCATGCTTATCCAATTGTCCCAAGCTCTGGATTTGTTTTTACTAGCATACCTATTAACAAGCTATCCTTACAAGTATTGCTTCCTAAAATTAGTCTGAGTACTTAAATGGTAAATACTTTTTTGAGCTAGTCTTTTGGCTGAAAAATTTAAGAAACTTGTTTAGTACCATAGAAATTTGATTTCTTGCTTATAATAAAAAAAAAGTACCATAGTAGTATGTTAAAAAAAATAATTTGTAAGGGAATGGTATATATAAGAGAATTTTGGAGACTTCAAATCTTTAATGTGACTTAAAAAGAGGAAATAAAAAACAAATAAAAAGTAAAAGTAAAATGAAATAAAAAATGAAAATTAGATAAAATTTAAATCAAAATAAAATGACAGTACAAAAATAAATATAAAATAAAATTCAATAATAAGACAATGTTATTTAAAATATTACCAAAGAGAAAATGGGATTGAGATACCATTATAAAAAATACAAAATACTTTAAAATGTACAAATGGACTGAAGCTCCGTTACCATAACGGTACAAAGAAATTCACAGTCATCGGAATACGTGAGATTAACAGCAAGGCACTGGAAATCTTGCATCTTCAACCAACCCACATCCACGGGCCACCTGACGCATGCCCAAAAACATGACTCGCATATACCCGGGTGTATGACCTAACCCATGCGACCTTTAGCCCTTACACGCACGTGACGAGTGGCACTCCTCGACTTATCTAGCTCATTCAGCATCGCAAGGCTCCAGTTGTGGCTCAACGGCTCCATGACTCAAATTCAGCTTATCCAGCTCGGGTCTTATATTTGGACACCATTTTCTATGTTTTGGACTCTCCTAGAGCTGCTAACTTTGATCTTTATTTAAGGCATTTAAGGTTAGTATGAGCCATTTTTCTTAGTTTTAAATTAAATTAATTAAGAGTGACTTTTACTAAGGCTATTGAGCAAATATGCAAATAGATGAAGGCTCGCATAAGTGAAAAGAACTCGAAGGACGAAAGAAAACTAAGTTGAAAAGAGAACGTCGGCTAAAACCATCCAAGTAAGTGATCTTACTATCAGCTCGGTCGAAAGACATTTCTTATGTCTTGTAGCACGTGTCAAGTTGTCCATGCACATGTCATGTAAGTTGATATGATGTGTTATGATGATGTTATATGATGTGATGATGTTACTCTATGTTATGATGATGACATATTATGATATGATGACATGAGATGTATGATGATTAATATAATATGATGTCATCTCATGTTACGATGATGTTCATGTGTGAGACATTATATTACATGTATGATGTGACATGTCACAACATGTATTATTATGAAGAGTTTTACGAGGCACGACCTCCGAGTAATGTTATGATGATAAAATGTACGAATGTTTATGCATGCATGTTACCTAGAGTTAAATGTAAAGAATATGTGGGGTTGTGCTGATCGAATGGTTTAAGATGAAAACTATAAGGGACTTCATGTATATTGTATGTTCATTTACATCGGGATACTTCATTTTTTATGATGAGTATATACGTGTACACTATGATGATGATTATCATCATCATAGCCTTGCATGATATTTAAGGGTTTGTTGTACCTCTAGACGTCCAACTATAGCCAACTAGCTCGACCATGCAGGCCCAGGGGGTGTGCGAGCAAACTTCGATGAGCCCACACTCGCACATGTGGGTCGCGTGTATAAGGAAGTATTACACCTTAGCGTATGATTGTTTTCAATGATAGGTTCTTGATCATTATTGCATGTGTTTGTATTTTCCTTAACGCCAATAGTGGGGTCACTTATGAGTATTTCTTAAAATACTCAACTCAAGTAGTACTTTTATATTTAAGGTAAAGGAAAGACACTCATGTACAGTTGACGACGACATCACATTTAAAGACCATGAAACTTGCATAGTGTAATTGCATTTCTTTTAGTAGAACATATCTTAACATAGGGCATTGTTAATTTAACATTTTTGTTAGTTTCTTTTTTGTTTATTTAAATATTTCTTTTATATTGTTATAGGATCCTTTCTTGAACGTACAAGTCCATGACATCGTTTTACGAAGTCATTTTAAATGAAGGTTTTCTGCATAAAAAAGTTATATCATGCATATGGTAGTGACTTTAGGTTAGTAGAAAACTAGAGTCGTTATAGTTGGTATCAGAACTCTAAGTTATAAATTCTATAGACTAGCCTACATGTTTTGTAAACGAAATTTGAGGAAGGTTCAAAATTTGATGAATTTGAACCTTCCTCGCAATCGGCCACGTCCAAAATCGTCTCTAATAACCTGATTTGTAGACGAAATTTTCAAAAGAATGTGCTAAAACAAGCAAAACCCAACACAGCCCATATGCTTCTTTTACTGTATCATCCTAATACCACCAAAATCGAACTCCTAACATGGTGTATCATCCTAATACCACCAAAATCGGACTAACATGGTGTATCATCCTAATACCACCAAAATCGGACTCCTAACATGGTGCTTCCCATTAGACCATGCAAGTCTCCCAAACACAGACCCTCGATGATAATCATTTGGAACCCTCTTCAACACAACTGTGAAGCTCTTCTCTTCACCGGTTCTAGTGAACTTCAAAGTATTTGGCTCTACTGAAACCGAAACTCTTGGTGGTGCCTTGACGTTAGCAACATACGTGGCTGGACTTCCCACATTCTTCACTCTTCTTTTGATCTTTACTACTTCTGATGCCAGATTATCTATTGTGATTGATGGGTAGTTCAAATCTGCTACTTTGAATTTCTTTGAACAAACAAATGAAGTATCATTGGAAAATAGCTTCATTTGTGTTTTGTTGTAGCCTCGAGCACATAAGAAGTTCAAATAGTCTTCGGTGGAGAGGTCGTAAACAAGGCCTGGATTTGCTGCTTTGTTTGGATTGACATGCCCTGCACCATATGCAAATGAGTTTGCTTTCTCCTTTCCTGAGCTTAGTATTGAATTTAAGTCATTGGCTTTGATTCTAGCTGCCAAACAAAAACCATGAGTGTTTCAAGATTTAAGTCAAATATTCCTGGTGTAAATACAATAAATAATCTCTTACTATTCATGGTTTGAAAATAAACTAGTTTAATTAGTTCTTGAGTTTTATAACGATGGAAGAATTTTAAGTACCGTACCTGTAGTCATGATTGTAGATTTCATAACCGCTGGACTCCATTTTGGATAAAGGGTTTTGAGAAGGCCAACGATACCAGAAATATGAGGGCATGACATAGAAGTGCCAGATAATATATTAAATGGAACCCGCCGTTTATCAAAAGACGAACCAGTTGGTGACGTTTCTTCCGTAAAAGCTGCTAATATATTCACACCTGGTGCAGTTATATCAGGCTGAAAATGAAAAAGAAAAACGAAAAAACACAACAATTTGTAATGATGGGCAATTGACACATTAAACTTTGTACTAAAAAGTTACTCAACACACCGTCTTTCACCAACCTTGAGTATTGAGGGCTCAATTATATTGGGGCCTCTCGAAGAAAATCTAGCCATAATTGGTGCTGGTTTGACTCCTAATTCTGTCCTCACGTGAGTCATGTAAGCTATTGGAGTTCTAATTCAACCACAAAACTCAGACATATGAGTTATAACTTTAGTCATTAACTTCCTTAAACTTTTAAATTTGTGTTTAATAGGTCATAACTTTAAGTGTTTAAAAAGTCTATAAAACTTTTAATTTTGTTGTCTATTATATACATAAAATTTTATAAGATGTCAAAATGACCCTTCAAATATTTTTTAAAGTTTAAAAAAAATTGTACAAAATTGAAAAATAGAGAGACTCCTCCCGTCATTTTTTAAATTGAGTGATGAAATCGACCCATACTGAAAAATTTAAAACAAAACACAATGAAAGTTCATAAATAAATAGGGAAGTCGAATAAGATGGAGTATTTACTTGGTAGAGTTGATAAATTGGTAGACTAATTCACCGTCAATGTAGTTTATATGGGAAGTAGGAAGTAAGTGTGCCTCAACCTCAAGTCTATCCCCATCTTCCTTGTCATTAGTAAGAATCATCCCGACAGCACCTGCTTGAGCAGCCACATAACCTTTGTCCACATTTGCAATGTCCCCACTAAGGCAAACCACAATTTTACCTTCTACCTTTTTAGGATCAAGAGACCCTTCAAGACATAATATACTACAAGATCACAATAAAATTTTCTTAATATTATGTGGTTATTGTGGGTGTTTTTTTTCCTTGAATCTTGAAACATACACAGTAAGAAATATACTCACGCTTCGATATTAGAGACATTGTTGTTTTTTGCATCTAAAGCACGTATTAATGGATAAAACTTCTGCACTGGCAATATTTTATTAGAAATACTTTCACCCTGGTATTGACAAGGGAAGATCGTTAAAGATAACAAAATCATGGTATATATATCATTTAATATCGTAAGAAAATTCAAAATTTGATATCAAATTAATTTATATATTTATGTGTTCGAGGCATGAATTTATATAAACAACATTAAGCACATAACTATCTAGTGTTAACAACAAGTGTTAATACGTATCCAATAAAGGTCAGGCACAAACATGTTAGTTAAATTAAAGTGTTTGTGTTTCATAAAAGAGTACCTTAATGTGTCTCTTGTCTCCGAGCGCCAAGTAAGTGGTAAAAAGCCTGTCAATTGTGCTAGCTCCCACGGTTATCAACCATGGTGCGACATTTGCAACAGTGCCTGGAGACGGTCCTGAGTTTCCAGCAGAACAAACGACAGTGATGCCGTTCTTCACTGCATGGAAGGATGCTATAGCTATTGGATCATCATGAAATTCTAAAGGACTTCCACCGAGTGAAATAGACAGAACGTCAACTCCATCGCTAATGGCAGCTTCGAAGCCAGCCAGAATGTCAGAGTCAAAGCACCCACCAATGTTCACACGAGGCCAACATACTTTATAGGCGGCGACAAGGGCTTTAGGGGAGCCCCCTTTTGCAGTACCATTACCATTCCCAAATATGTTTGCTCTTGAAACAAAATGGCCTCCAGCCGTGGATAAAGTGTGTGTTCCATGCCCTTGATCGTCCCTTGCTGTTAAGTAGCTTGAGTTGAGAGGCCCGACGATGGATGCATACCCTTTGTTGAAATACCTTGCTCCAATCAACTTTCTGAATTTAAAAGCTTTAATTTCACGTCGAGGTCACGTAAGAATACAAGCATTTGATACAACAACTTGCTACAACACAAATACTATAAGGATGAGTTTATGCATTTATATTTCTGAATAAATGTTGGATTAATATTCACTTTATAACTACACTAGTATTGAAGGTGTTTATTATGCTAATAAAAGTGTCTTGATTTGTGGTTAACTTATTAGTCAAATGAAAGTGCTTGTATTTCTTACAGAAAAGAATTAAATAGAGGTGGAGTAACAATAAGAGATTTTAGGTTAGAGACCTGTTGCAATTAAAGTTGGAGCCACCTTCACAGCTTCCCTTCCATCTTTTTGGTATAGGTCCATATCCTTCATCATTGAAGCTCTTTGATTCGGGCCAAATGCCTGTATTGATACCAATTACAAGAAGAAGAGGTACCCAAATTATTACAAAAGCAGTCGAATGTTCAAGAACTTATAAGAAGAAAACAAGACGAACCTGTGTCAAGGTTGCCAATGATTGTAGATTCACCAAAATTTGCAAGATTCCAAAGAGAGTTGGGAGGAAGTCCACCATTATTCTCAACTCCAAGAAAACTCCATGAATTTGTTGTATGCAGTTCTCTTCCTTTGTTTTCATGTACTGATACCACACTTGGATGTTCTAAAAAAAAAAAAAAAATGAGAAAAACACGATCATTATTAAATGGAAAAAAGAGTCTAGTTTGATAACTATTTAGAAGTACAGCTTTCAAAAACAAAATCATTATCAAATAGTATCATAGCTTTGTTAGAATTAGATAAATTCTTTTACTTGCTACATCTTCTGCAACTTTGTAATCAAGAACCGCTGCAAAACCATTGATATGTCTATTGTATGAGTAAAAGATAGCTTCTTTAGCTGCTTCATTGCTGTACTTGAAAACATAAACATAAGAGTGTAATTGAAGAGCGAGAGTTCATCAAATCTACACAAAATGACTTAAAACTAAAAGCTTCACCTTCCTATCACAGATCCAAGTAGATTGTAGTGGGTTTGGGTTGCAAGTTGAAGATCAACCGCAGATGGATTCAACCCATGAGAATGTGATCCCAAATAAACAATATAAGACTGCACAAAATTAAAAAACAAAAAATTTGAGGGTCTAAAAACGCATTTGATATAAACATTAAAAAGCATTTATAAGTGATCAACGACTAACCTTCTTGACTGCAATGGTGGATGTTTGCAAAAGAGCAAAAAGAAAGAAAGAGAGAAGTAAAGGAGGAAGATTAAAAGCTTCCATTTCCTTTTCGTCTCAAAATAATGTTCCTTCCAATGCTGATCAGTGTTTTGAAGTTCATGGTATGTTCAAAAACTTATTAGGATAAGTATGGTAAGGAAAATTTTGATGGAATCAAGAAAGAATGTTATCAAATTTGAGCGGGGAATAAGTATGGTATATGGTTATGTCCAATTTGACAACACCTTCCAAATTAGATAAAGCTTTTTAAGTAATGGAATCTTTATAAGTCCTTTTGTTCGGTTCGAGTCTCTTATTGGTGTGGGATCTCACCAATCCATTTGTTCGAGGTTAACATTTTCGCTAGCATACTATTTGGGATATAATTCTGAAACCATTTGTAACAACTCAAGCCAATCACTAGTACATATTGTCTGTTTTGGCTTTTTACATATGCTCGTCACTAGTAGAGATTTTCACACCCTTTTAAGAAATGTTTCGTTCCCATCTCTAACTGATGTTGGATCATACAGTTTTAAACTATCTTAAATGACTTAGAAAGTTAATGAAAAAAAGTACATTTTTTTTTCATGAGTTTTCAAGCTCGATATTATTAAGATCTTAGGTTTGAATTTGGTAAAATGTTAGTTCATTCCTTGTTGTCCTTGATGTCATCTTTGTAGTTGTCGTTGTTGTTGTCGTCCTTGTTGTTTAGGGTTTACGGTATAGGGTTTTTATTTTTTATTTTTTATTTTTTGTTATTTTTCCAACTCCTTGATATTATTAATTCCGTTTTTATTTTATAATTTTTATTTTCTTTTCACAACTACACAATTTTATTTATTTTCAATTAATTAATTAAAAATTGAAATTTTAGAATAATAATGTGAAAATACATTTCATAATCTGATTTGTAAACAATTTCATTTTTATTTTATTTTTTTCTCATCTATACAATACTATTTATTTTCAACTACTTAATTGAAAATTAACTAATTAATTAAAAAATGAGAGTTAAAATAATAATAGAAGGAATATATTTCATTACCTAAAATAACATTTTTTTTTTCTTTTTTCTAATATAAGCTTTGATAATATCAATTTCATTTTTTTATTTCATAGTATTTCTTTTTTCTTGCCTACATAATCCTTTATTTTCAACTAATCAATTGAAAATTAATACTTCAAAAAAATATATATGAGAAAATTAATTCTTTAAAATAAAATACAAGAGGCATTTAAAATTGTGGTTATCAAATATTTTATTAAAAAAACAATGTATTTTTTTTTTTAATTATAGACCTATAAACTTTCATGTCATTTAGAGGTCATTTTGGTCATAAGCGGTACATAATTAATAAGGACATTTTAGTCATTTTACACCTACCTTTAGTTCAGCACATTATCATAGTCTATGGGCCACCAAAATTTCATAAATAACCTTATCGTGTCACATTCATTCTTCTCCTAAAATTTCATGAACAACAGAACTCATTTAGTAGGTGTGTGGTTCAAGCGCTTCATTGAAATCAATGTTCACGGGGATACTGCATTTTTTCATGATGATTGTCTTCTTCCATCAACTAGATCAATATTTCTACTGGTTTACTGCATTACATTGTTCTTCAAGTCAAATTCAAACTTACCTACATCTTTGCCAATACATCCTCAAAGTCTCATTAAGGCAACTTTTTTTTTTTTTTTTTCAACTCCTTTCTAATACCAAGAAGGAAGCTTAACAAAATTCTCTTCTAAAATTTTTTATCCTAAATTTGGGTACTTTTCTCTTACCTTGTGTCGTGTTTTTCTAAGATTTTTCTAGGCTTCCCTTCGTAACTTTAAGTCCTTGTTAATTTGACAAGGTTCATAGTTCATTTACGTGAATGAAGTCTGTCAAGTAGTAGTAGTCTATATGCCATCGAACTTTCCACTAATTTGTCTTCAAATTGTTATTTAAACTAGGATCCTTATATTATGTTTCCTATGATCGATGTCTAGACGCTTCTAGTTATCTTTCTACTTGACCATTAATATTGGCGCAACTCAAGGATATGACGGATAAAACCCTTACCCAATAAGTCTTGTAATTACGTCTCAAGTTCCTTTAATCATATTGATGTCATGCTATAAAGGCTTTGGGGACGGGGTATTCTTGGTAGGTCTTCTGAAAATACGTTCACGAACTCATTTAACATCTTCAACAAAGATAAGAAAAAATCATTGAGTCGAGAGAAGAAGGAACCAAAGAATAGAGCTACGAAGAAACCAACGAACAGAGCTAAGAAGAAATCAGAGGTCACTTCAAACTTACCATCTTAACCAAAGAGGCCTAGAAGCAGACCTAAAAAGAAACAAGAATCCAATAATAACAAGGTTGAAAGACATAGAAGTAACTTAGAACCGGAAGAAAATAGAGTTGATAAGAGACCTAACAAAGTTGACATTACAAAGAAAAGTGCAGATATACTAACCAAGGGCGTAGCCAGGGTTAAACATTGCAGATATGCCGGAGTTAGGTCTAAGTAAACGTATTTTTGAGCTTGATGCGCAAAAACAATGAGAGATTAGCTCAAGGAGTACTAAAAAAAAAGGTGCTAATGATAGTGGGACTCCCGCGGATAATGAGAAACTTAAAAACTGAAGTCCATTTCTTTGAAATCCCACTATAGTAATACCAATAAAAAGAGAAAATGAGAGACCTAAAGGAATGAGAAAATGACTTGTAACTGTGAAGCTACAAGGTATCATACCCTGAGGATTACGAAATAATGAAAAAGTAAAAGTGATGGAGATGCGAGGGAAAAACTTTTGTTTAACATTTTCGAAAAGACCACCTATTTGTTCGTTCACCAAGTTTTGCACGAAGCCAGGGTTAAAACATTACAAATAAGCACGAGTAGGTCGAAGTGAAGAATCTCTAATAAAGTTAAGTTTCTAATAAGGTTAAGTTTAGAGGAATATGAGTGAATCAGTTGAGACATTTATTAATTTAGAGCCATGTTTGGAAATTGGTTAGTGCTATATTAAGAGAAATGTTAGTAGTTGACATATTGTGGAACAACTTTTGGCTGTTTTAATGAAGTGTTTTTTTCTGTATAAATACTGATATGTTCTTTCTACATTTTAAATGGCTTTTTTTAGGCCATCCAACCTAGAAAACTTTGATAAATTAATTTTTTAAAAGAAACAACCAAAAAAAAAATTCATTATCATGGGAAAGAAGAATTTCTGAACAAAAATAAAAAATAAAAATTCTTTTCCTGAATTTCAAACTACTTAAGTCTACCGAAATCGAAACTTCTATCGGTGACTCGATTTGAGCAATATACGTGCTTGGACTTTCCACATTTTTTACACTTCTTTTAATCTCTATTGGCTCTGATTTCAAATGATTCATCGAGATTAATGGGTAGTTCAAATCTGTTACTTTGAATGACTTTGAACAAACAAATGAATTATTAGGGAATAGTTTCATTTGTGTTTTATTGTAGCCACGGGCACGTAGGAAGTTCAAGTAGTCTTGGGTTGAGAGGTCGTAAATAAGGTCAGGATTTGCTGCTTTGTTTGGTTGGACATGGCTGACACCATATGCCAATGGGTTTGCTTTCTCCTTTTCTGAGCTTAGTATTGGATTTAAGTCATTGGCTTCGGTTTCCGCTGCCAAAGACAACCATTAGCTTTCGAGATTTAAGTCATAATGCAAATCCCATAAAAAATGCATCTTACTATTAAAATGATTGAAGAATTTTGCATAATGAACCTGTTGTCATGATTGCAAATCTGATAGTTTTTAGAAGGCCAACGATACTAGAAATGTGGGGACATGACATGGAAGTGCTCGATAATACATTATATAGAACCTGACGTTTATCAAAAGGTGAACCAGTTGGTGATGCTTCGTCAGAGAAAGCCGCTAGTATATACACACCTGGTGGTGCTGTTATATCAGGCTAGAAATTGGAAAAAAAAAAAAAAAAACTATACTTCAAATTTTGTGATGGTTAGTAGTTGACACATTGAAGTTTATACTAAAAAATTAATCAACACACGGATCTTAACCAACTTTAAATATTGAGGGCTCAACTCAGTTGGGACCTCTTGACGAGAATGAAGCCATAATTGGTGCTGGTTTGATTCCCAACTCAGTCTTCACTTGAGTTATCTAAGCCATTGGAGTTCTAATTCAACCACAAAACATGATTTATAAGTTACAACTTTTGAGTCTAATAAATTTTGAACTTAAAAAATATCTTTAATAAGCCATAAAGTTTAAAAGAGTTCGAGAATAAGATGAAGCACTTGCATAGTAGACTGGATGTATTGGTTGATTAATTTACCATCGGTATAACTTATATGTGAAGCAGGAAGTATGTGTGGAGTAGGAAAAAGTTCATCACCACTTTCTATGTCATTAACAAGAATCATCCCAACAGTACCGGCTTGAGCTGTCTCATAACCTTTATCCACTTCTAAATCGTACTAATTACGACAAACTACAATTTTTCCTTTTACCGTTTTAGAATCTAAGATATCCCATCCTACAATAAATTTTACTATGACTATTGTTACTTTGTTCTTATTATTATGGTGGAAATATGTCGATTAAATTATACAAAATACTTATTTCAACTATGTTCTTACATTTTCAAAAGTTTTGTTAGAAATACTATGTTCTTACATTTTTAAAAGTTTTATTGGCTAACATTATTTACACATTTACAATAGAAAATTCCTTAAGGCTAGTTTTATTTTTATTATTTATTTATTTTTTTAATCTATTTCAAAATTTAAGTGTTAATTTTAAAGACTAGTCCACGATTGAATGTATCCAAAATTTAAATATATTTCATATAATTTAAATAAAAATATATTCACGCTTTATTACTAGAGACATTGTTGGATTTTGGATCTAAAGCACGGACCAACCGATAGAACTTCTTAGTTGACAATATTTTACTAGTAAGACTTTCACCGTGGTATTGACAATAAAAAATTATTGAAGACAATGTAAACATAGTACAAAATCATAATTCAATTGATATGAACAATTTTATATGCCCAATGTAATT